TTATTTTGGAACATAACATATAACATTCAATAAGATTTTAAATCTAAATATCAAGCTTACATTTATTTCTTCCATAAAATAGCTTGTTGGGAGGCCAGTCATTTTGAAAAGACAGGAAAAAGAAACAGTAAAGTCACACTCCCAGGCATGTGACATCATTTTAAAGTTACATGTGTCCTCTCTAAGAAAGAAAAGTTTGTGTGTCACGTGTACTATGAGAGATATAGGCTAAACAAACGTGTACTACGGTGCACAAAAATGAATTGCTACGCCTTCACCCCACCCCATTCAAAAAAGAGTCATGTAATTATAAAGATTTATAAACAAGCATGAATAAATCTTCCTAAAGTTCAGATTGAAAAAGGTTTAACTTAATTTTATTTTTTGAACTCAGCTGAACTGGAGACAACAGAGAGTTCAGTTCAAACAAACCCACAGTGTTCTCAGTTATTGTTTTCATGTTCTATTAAACTTCTCTTTAAAGGACAGCGGTTGCTGTAAAGTGTTAATATGAGGAAGTAATTCTGACTGAGACACAAAACGCAACAGAAACTAGAATAGGACTCATTTGCTGACAGCTCCTGCAGCCAAAATGACATTTTCAGTTTTTCTTCCCCTTATTTTCACCGGACTTGCAGGTAAGCCAATTAACTTTGAGTAAAATTAATTGAGTCTTATAAACTGGTGGATCACTATTGCTAATATAAATGGTATTATTGTGTTTGATGACATTTTTAGTTAATTGAAATAACAAAATGAAAAATAAATGTTGGCTTTAATATATAAATCTTAATGTGACACTTTGCATTTGAAGGCATTACTGAGATTCTCGTTTATGTTTTCAGGAATTTACTGTCAAATTAGTACAGTGACAGAAGTGCCAGTAAAGGCTGGGGGCTCGATTTCCATCCCCTGTCTCTATAATGAACAACACAAAAAAAATGTAAAATACTTGTGTAAAGGAAAAAAATGGCAGTCTTGTGAAAAAGTTATTGACACCAGTCAAGCAACAACTGGAAGATATGCTATTGTTGATGACAGACATCAAAACATCTTCAATGTCACAATAAATGAGTTGACAGACAAGGATAGGACGTTTTGGTGTGCAGTTGAAAAACTAGGAATGGATGTCAAACAGGATTTTAAGCTATCAGTCACCTCAGGTAAAACATCTTTAATAAAATAAATGAAGCCTTTATGACAATCTATCTCAAATGATTCAATTAAATGATTAATGATGTATCATACTGTTCTTGTTTGGGTTTTTTTTTCAAGGTTCTGCAAGTCTGTATGTGGAGCAACAGGAAATAGCCGCGGTTGAGAAAAGAAGTGTAACTGTCATTTGTTACTACAAAAATAAAAAAGTAATCAGATGGTGCAGACTGAGCAGCACCTGTGTAAAAGAACAGCTCGGACAAATAGATGGAACAACTGTGAAATTAAATTCAAGTGTTTATGGAATGTTCAATGTGACCATGAGTGAGCTGAGGACTGAGAGCAGCGGCTGGTACTACTGTGCCACTGAAAACTTGCAGATGCCAGTGCATGTTGCAGTTTATGAATCAGTCATGACAACGACTGTGTCGACTACGACACAGAGTCCCAGCACAACAAGTAAGAAAATTCATGGTTTTTTTTTTGTTTGTTTTTTAACGTTGTAGCAAAGTAGGTGAATGGACTCTATGCAAGTAAAACATTTAAATGTCAAAACTTGCAGAACAAAACATCCTCAGAATCAGAAAAATCTTGCGAAATAATTTACAAAACAATTGTATTTATTTATTCAATTTTTTGCATTAAAAGCCTTCACTGGAATCACTGAATCCTACACTGT